CGGCCCTTCTCTCCTGCACATCTGCCACCCGCCCCTCCCGCTCCAGACCCCCTCAGCAATCCCCTCCCCAGCCTCAGCACAAGCAAGACATTCTCCCCCTGGAATGACTCTAGGTAAGGGCTACCAACAACATCAGAAGCTTATTACACCTCTCCCAGTAGCAAAGGCTGAGACACCAGGGCTATATCAGCCCAGAGATGGGAAGGTGCCTCATAGACCTAACTGCCTCTTTGCAACACTCACAGAGGTGTTACAGCAATGACCAAGACAGACCTTTCCACACAGTCACTGGTGACAGGGTAAGGGGAATGGTTTTCAACTAAGAGAATCCAGGCTCACAGAACATACAAGGGAGACATTTTCTTTGAGGAGGGTGGGGAAAGACTGGAACAGGTTTTCCCACAAGCTCACAAATGCCCCATGTCCGTAAAGCATCTAGGGGAGGTTGGTTGTGGCTCTTGGCAACCTCTTCTACTTAGATAGCCCTCCTCATTGCTGGCTACTTATATCACATGACTTTTAAATTTTCCTCCCCACTCAATCCATTCCATGATTCATGAAGGAGAGGCATGAGATAAATCATTCTATCAGCCCATGTTCCACTACTCCTGCTGCTTCAGACAATTCTCACAGCTCTCCTGCTGCCCTGCTTGAAAACATCTTGCAGCACTAACAAGTCTAGGGCACCATGCACTGAGTACGAATCCTTTTAATTTTTCTTATTCAGCCTCACTCTTACACTTAATGAACAAGTTAAGAAATTTTTTTCTCTATGTGCTTTAATGTACTTATTTTAATCATTATCCCTCGATCTTCTCTCTCCATTAGCTGTCATCACATGTAAATAACACCAACAATTCTCTGCTCCTGGCCGCTCAGAACCAAACCTCACAATCAGGAGTCACACTGCCCTAGTCTGAGCCTATCAACAACCATGGCAACACCTTTGTGATAACACATTTAAAGACAGGCAGGAAGAAAACTGCTGCAGAGTAGCAGCTAGATGAGAGGATTCCAAGTACATGAGAGAAGCAACTCTGCAGACACCCTGTTCAGTGAAGGAGAATGGAGAGGAGGTGCTCCAGGCACCAAAGTGGAGACTCCCCTGCAGCCCATGGTAAAGACCATGGTGAGGCAAGATGTCCCTCTGCAGCCCATCAAGGTCTACAATGGGGCATATGTCCACCTACAGCCCATGGAGGACCCTATAATGGAGCAGGTGGATGCCAAATGGAGGCTATGACCCGGTGGGAAGTCTGTGCTATAGCAGGTTTGCTGGCAGGACTTGTAATCCCACAGGGCACTCAGGCTGGAGCAGGTCCTGGGGAGCTGCAGCCTGTTAAAAGGATTCATGTTTGAGAAGTTCATAGAGGACTGTTGTTTGTGTGAGTGCCCCCACACTGGAGCAGGGGAAGAGTGTGAGGAGTCCTCCACCAGAGGAGGAAGGAGCAGCAGAGACAGCATTTGATGACCGACTGCCCCCATTCCTCACCCCCCTCTGCTGCTGAGTAGAAGGAGACAGCAAAAATGAGGAGTAGCACCGAGCCAGAAAGGAGGGAGGGTTAGGGGGAAAGTGGTTTAAATATTTACTTTTATTTCTCATTATCCTACTCTGATTTTATTGATAATAATTTAATTTAAATTTCCCAATTCAAGTTTGTTATGTCCATCACAGTAATTGATGACTGATCTCTCTCTCTGTCCTTATCTTGACCCGTGAGGCTTTTCCTATAATTTTTTTCTCTCCTTTGTCCAGCTGATGATGAGAACCAATAGATAAACGTTGGTGAGTACCTGGCTTCCAGTCAGGTTCAACCCACTACACCAGTCTCCCCTGGCTGCAGTAGTGCAAATACTTGTCACTTTGATGCTCTGAAGATAATCCTACTCATTTCAGTTAACAATTCATCCAAGCATCATTCTTTCCTCAAGTAGTTAAGGTCTTCATTAATGCACTGAACTTGATTGTTTTTTTTTTATTTCAGAATGTGCAACTGGACAGGGTTTTGTCTAGGACTTCCCTGTACTCACCTTGGACTGTCTGACTTTGGCCGTCCCCTGACTCCACACGCAAGATCTGGTACCTTTAATTACAGCATTCACTGTGATAACTGATTTCCAGATCACTGCACATCGCTCCATTTCTGCCTCTGAGGATACAACGCATCACTTAATCCTGTGGCGTTTCTCAGTTACATGCTACCAAGCTTTCTCTCCAAGACCCTTATCCTAGTTTTCTGAAACGAGTATTCTTTACCTTTCTCCAATCTAGACTGAAGGTGAATATATATGGAAGCTCAGTGTCTCTCACAGGGCACTTTCTTCCTTATCTGAATCCAGAATGTAACATATAGTGTCTCTCCTGCAGCTCACCTGCACATGTTGCCACGATGCATATGCAGAGGTCTCTAGCTATGACCACCTCCAAAACCTGTCAGATGCACCTACTGGCTGCCAATTTGTTTACTTGCTGCTCAACCCTACCTCTTGGTAAAAGAAAACATTCCACTCAGATCGCAACTACATTTGACAAGATGTCATAGTGTTTCCCCAACAATTAAAATTTCTCCACCCAAAAGCACAGAACACGTCCTTCTATTTAGAGAACTTGCACGTGGATGAATACATGATGCAACAGTTGCTCTATGTCAGCTTACATCAGCTAGAGAAACTGTTTGTGGATACTTAAAAAGATAGAATACAGAACATAAGGATAAGCTCTTAATCATCATCAAATTAATTTGTTTTGCACAAGCAATCGATGCTAAAGATAACTTGTTTAAAATTAAATAAAAGCATTTACTTACCATTGGAAGCCTGGATTGAAGCATCTGGAGATCATCATAACCATAAATCTGCTTAAAGACAGATAAAAATAAAACATCATTATAACACTTTTCTCTGACATTGACCAATCTGGGGCTTTAAGCAGAGTTTTATCTAGGCACAGTCTATTCTAAATGTGTACAGTTATAACACTGCATTGTGCCATCTTGGCACACTGTGGCGTTTTAAGGCTAGAAGAGCTATGCTTAAAACGTCTTGTCACTCTGATGCTGTATCCTGGTGACAGCAGCCCTCTAGAGAGGAGTTCGACCCATCTCCAATACTGTTTTCACAGATGCATCATTCATCAACTTGTGAAAAATCTACACAGCATTCAGATTTGGAAGTAAGAGCAACAGCCTTCTTTGCTGCAATCGTTACTTCTGAGAATAGCAGAATTTAAGATTCAATGACTAGACAACAAAGCAACCTATGGTATCACCCTGTATTCAGTGTCATGCAGAGAGATGATTAGAATAAAGTTTCCAACCCAAAACCAGATAAACAAAAATGTGTGGATCCTGGTCAGACATCAACAGCTACGTGCAATCTTTCAAGTAAGACAGATAGGACACATGGCACATTTTTACCATTATTATAGCAAATTCATTCCAGAAACACAAACCTGAATGAGTCTAATTTTATTTCAAGACTCTAAAACCTGCTACAACTGAAAAAAACAGCAACACAAATGTTTAGCTTCAACAGCAGCCAAATCAAAGTCTGTACCAACAGTTCTGCAGTTTACTATCAACAGTAAACCCCTACTGAATAAATTTCATATATTCTTTAGCATTTGGAACAAGAATTCCAGATGTGACGTGTAAACAGAAATGTCTCAGCATAGACAGCAGCAGGTCTGGAGGGCCCACCTGCACCAAGGGTTAGGCAATCAAGGACAGGAACAGTTGAATCACTTACTGGGTAGGCAGGCAGAAGTCCTCCAGGTCCCACAATATACTGGTTATGCAACAAGGGTGGTACACCTTGGGGCAGGTTTGGGGGAGCTTTGCCTGTAGAATCAAAATACAGACACTTTAACAAGCATCTAGAGAAAAAAAAAAAGGCTTCAGCATTGAGACAAGACAACTCACAAGCCCTGGCAGCTGAGTGTAGCTTGTAAAGAGCAGAACTACGCAGAAGAATTTTGGGCTGGTTAATGAAAATGCTCAAAATAGCCTGAAAAGTTTCACCATGCCTCAAGGAAGGTAAAGCACAGGGTATGTTAAGACTGAAAATAGTCCTCTTGGAGAACAGTCTGATTTTGTCATTTACTTTGTCCAAGAAGACTACAAAAATCACACAGTCTTCTTCCTTCCTCAGTCCTCTCCTGAAGGCAAAATATAGGCATCTAAGAGAGCAGATTCTCTCCTTTCATTTTCAGCTCTGTCAACACATTCCCCTTTATCACCAGCAGTAGACAGGAAAGCACTAAATGCTGCCAGCGTGCCTTTTTGTGGATAACTTACTGCAGCTGGGAATAGCAAAGAGAAGACCAAAACAGATCCAGTTGCTTCTGTGAACCAGCGGTAGGAAACAAAGTAAAATTAAAAAAAAAGCACTTGAAGCAGTCATTAGGCACAATTTACAAAATATGGGAATGAGAAACCCTTCCATAACTAAGTTTGATCTTAATATTTAAGCCGTTCACTCCTCTCCATACAACTTCCTTTTAGCAGTTCAGGTTGATTAGAGAAGCGAGAGAATTTTGCATTGCTTCCACTTCAGTGCAAGAACACTCCCCAGCTTTTCTGTGGACCCTTTTTCTGAATGAAGTACTATTTGTTGTGGAATGACCCAGGCAATAGACACCTTTTTTACTTTGTGTAGGTGTGGAAGCAGTGATGTGGTTTATGACAACAAGGACACTGCAGTATATTTTGATCCCGCCAAACGAATTCAAGTTACAGAGAAGACTGAAATTAAAGCTAATGAGAACTCACAGTCAAGAGCTGATCATAACCTGGAATACAAATCTCCTTGCCCCTAACTTCCAGAGTCAGAACTGCTGCGGTGTCTATTTATAAAGCTCTTTGGCAATGGAATGTGCTATATAAATGTCACATAACACCCTAAGAAATATTTAAAATACACAAAACCAGACAACTTGATTTTATAAGCCAGCAAATAAAGCATGCTGAAAATGCTAGTCAAGAGTGTGAACTTCTCAGCGTAATTATGGCTGGTGAGATGCTTAACTGACAGCCCTGCTGACTGAAGTCCTCTGTCTATCCACATGATCTGTTAATATTGCAAACCTGAAGACACTAAGGGAGCTGCCCGTGTGCTAGCAGCTGGTATGGACACACTGGTAACACTCAGACCAAGGCTGTTTGTAGTGTTCATACTGCTTGCCATGCTGACAACCGAAGAGGTGGTGCTAGTGGCTGAAGTCGAAGCAGTTGAAAAGGTTGTTGAGGGCTGGAGCGAAGTTGTGTTCTCAACACTAGTGTGCTAGAAAGGAGACAAAAACAATGAGGATCACAGAGCAAATAAACCACAGTGCAAGATGCTGGGGGAGAAATGAAAAAAACCCCAAACATCAGTCTTTTAAGTAACAGCAGCACATGCAGAAGATATGTTTTATTTGTAATCCCACGCAAGCAATTAAGTTGCTTGCCTGTGATTTTTAACTATTCAAAGAAAATAATTTTATGAGAGTTAAATTAAAACAACTATATCATCACAATTATACCACAGTAACTCAAATGTCATCCCATTGCATTATTTCTTGCCCTTCACCTGTATAGTCCACTAAGCCAGTATTTTTTATGTTAAATAAAACCCTATATTCCTCCAAAAGACAGTATTTGTTTTGAAAATACAGGACACTGTTATCACGATTTCCTCAATGCACGCGCGGAATTTAAAAGCTTATAACTGCAGTGTGTGACAAGAGAGTCAATGTGGTAGACTCGAACAGAGACCAGATGTGTTACAGGAACACAAAAGCATTAAGGAGTTCCTGGTTTGAATCCAGCACAATACAGTGCCTTAGCTGTAAGCTGATCACACTAGCAAAGAGTGTCATCAACACATAGAAGCAAAAACAATTCTCACAACAAAGAAGGACGTTTGGTTAAGGGTAATTTTTAAGTTATATACTCAGTAGGGATGGGGCACTACAAACCAAAATACAGGCATGAAGAAAAGCAGTTACGTAGCTGCACACCCCAAGTGGGATTGTATAGAAGTACCTCATTGCAGAACAAGGCAGTGTCACTCTGACTCTGGCTTGTGCAACCTCATCTAGAGCACCGCGTTCACTACCATTCGCCTCATTATCTCAAATGCATAAATACACAGGTGACAACAATGACACACGGCAAACTCTCAAACCATCATCCACGAGACATTGCTTATGACATGTATCATTCCCTCCTCTGCATTTTGCCAGCTAACCTCCCCAGTAGAGACTGCTAACAGTCCGCATTTTGAAGCAGTTTCAGACAATCACTTCTAAATATTTTTAACACATTTTTTACAGGAAATTCTCTGTTGCCCCCCCCCACCTTGCTGGCATGAAAACTGCCTCTGCAGTTGTGTGACTGGCAAGCCTCTTTAATAGCTATCCCTGATCTAGCACAAATCACCAGTGGTAAAAGCCTTTTTTCACCACCAGAGGGCTGGCAGTCCTTCTTCCCTGAGATGAGGCTCTTGCTTTGGTTCTTGGTGTCCTGGGACGAAACCAACTTCAGGAAAGGGTCTTAATCATCAGAAAAACTGACTATATAGCAAACATCTGTCGAAATGCAAATAGGACTTACTGCATGTGACGTGTTTGAAGACAACACTGAGGCAGGGGAGAGGCTGCTTTGATGATTGGAAAGCGAGCTAGGAAGAATTTGCAAAAAATTAATAAAATTAATTTTCCCTAGAACTATTTTAAATATATTTATGAATGTGTGTGTATATATATATATATATATACACGCACACACGTACACATACACAAACGTGGAGTAGGTAGTAGGATATTAGTTGGAGAGTAAAAATGGCAGATGTGTGTATACACATACACACACACCCCTACAGGCACTTTTTCCATTAACTAATCTCCTACTACCTTTTACTGGAAAAAATGAATTAGAAACAACTATTACTAACAATAAACATCTAAAACGCCATTCTTCTGCATTCATCCATCTACCGTATTTTTAGAAAATCAATAGGTGTTTCAGGAATTATATAGCAATGACTCTAAAACACAAAGTCCAAAACCAGGTTTGCAAAACATATGGGTTGTTACTCATTCTTTCCCTTTGCAACTGCTGCTGCCTACCACAGGGCACAGGTATTAGTTAAGTGAGGCACTGCTTTAGTTTGACTCACTATGGTATTTCTCACATTTTAAACCTGCACAACATTAGTTCAACCAACCAGAACTGCAGGGTCTTTGTCCCATTACTCTGCCAAGAGCCCAAACACATTCTCTAAAGACATGGTTCAAAAAACAAAACAAAACACCCCCAAAAAGGCAAATAAAGAGCATCTATGAAAGTCTAAAATTAGACATACTACCTGGTAATTTAATCAAGGCCAGTTTATACCACTACACCCCACCAAAAGCCATTTCATCTTTGAAAAGATGAATCAGAACTATCAGTTTGGTGTATATATACACTGCAAAATATAAAAATAAAGACTCCCCTGCTGAAAACCATCAGCAAGTAACTTTTAGGAAGAAATTCTGCTTTAACACCACCTTTACTCCCTAGCTCATCAGGCCTGTGAACTTTCAATAGCAACCGTAGCACCAACATTCATTGGCAATCAAAGGATCTTTTAAAGTCTGTCTGAAAGGCAACTGAAACTTAAACACTTATACTGACAGAAGTTACACCCTACATTTGAGGTTGAGAACCTACAGCACAGCATGGAACAAACAGAATGAACACTGAACAACTGCAAACAAAACAAAGCCATAAAGAAACCCACACGGTTTGGTACTCAAAAAGCGCCTCCTCATGTGAGATCAGAAGCAAGAGAAAGCCTAACTATAACAAATATTTTAGTATTCTTTATAGAAATAGCCACAAGAAAACACAGCAGTTTTCACAAAAAAAAGCGCTGTAGACTAAATTATTTGCCTTAATTAAGAGCAAACACTTTTGGCAATTCTCTAACATGTAAGACTGGAATAAATTTTGGCAGTTTCACCGAATAATTTTACTTCGATTCTTTAAAATCATTTCCCATCTGCAGGAATTACAATGACACCACTTCAGGCAGCAAGGAAAGTAATAGTTCTGTCCAACATACAGTTTTAAACCAGTCCCTTGTCCACTCTCCCCAGCTCTTCTAATAAGCCTTGATTCACCATCTGACCTGTGGTAGAGACACAAGACAGGAGCCACCAGCACAACCAAGTCAGACATGCTTGGAATTCAGGCATCATCTTTTCATGGCACTTGCTATCTGCGCAACAGCATCAACCCTCCAACCAACATTTCCACCAATGTATACAGCTTTTCAACAAACATATGTTGAGAGATGTTTCTAATATGAATGGGTTAATTCTTTGTTATTTGACATATTTACCTTCTATTTTTTCAACGAAAATGCTAGTGTATTAAAAGAGAATCAACTACTCTTAGCTGTGGAACAGGGGAAAAAAATTTTAATATCGCATCAAATTATCTTCTTACATTAAAAAATACAGAACAAAAGTGAGTATTAAAAACGTAACTCAACCAGTATAGCCTCAAGATTTCACCTGCCTGAGGACGAAGCTCAAGCGACAGGCACTGAAAAAATCAGAGAGATAGTGCAAATGAGCTAAGCTGTGACGAATGCACTTCTGGGAACACCAATCTGATATTTCAAAGTGTCTTAAGGAAATGTCTTAGAAAAAGAAAAAAACATACACTTTCCCTGTGGAATTACTTCTGGGTTTCTCCTTTTAAGAAATACAAACATAAATGAAACTATAATGTTTCAAAATTAACCAGGGAAGTAGACCGTTAAGGAATGATTTCAAACATATGACACTAAACAAACAGCAGGCACTGTGGACAAAATAAGAAAAACAAACTAGGGGAATCAGTTCAGCTAAAAGGATTGAAGCAAGCCCCTTGAAACAAAGTTATTTATCTACCAGGAAAACTTTAGGGCAGCAGCTGCTCTATGGTTAAGAGGCATCCCAGAGCTCAAACTTCTCAACCAGAAACATCCTCTTCTCTTCTGAATCTAATTCTAGCTTATGTCAAAAGGGACCCTGGTGTCTGACAGCCCCCACTCACCATCACCCTTACGTTTGCCCTTTCCCTCAAACTGAACCCCTTTCAGTTTATTACAACTCCTACTGTACCTGTTTAACTGGGAAAGTGAGCCGCTGGCCAGATCACTGGGCTGAGGCAAGCTGGGCAACGTTACCGCGTGCTGTGATGCCGAAGGCAGAAGTGAAGCAGTGGTGGATACCACACTAGGCAGGGAACCAGCAGAAGGTAGCGAGGGAGAAGGCTCTGTCTTAGGTGCTGGAACTGACGGAGTAGCTGCAACAAGTTACAAAGAGAGATTAAAAGATATATTCCATCCCTGCCTGGATTCAGGAACTCAGTAGTAGTATTTTTCCCCTGGTTTACACAAACCTGACCATTAAGAACTAGTAACATCATAAAGCAATCTGGCTATTGAGGAAAATTCAAACAGCAACAGAACTATAATTTTTTCCCTTTAAGATCTTCACCTACAATAGATTTATCATTTTCACTCCTGCAAAAGTAGTAAAATATAGTCTTTTGCACTCCACCTCCCACTATCTGGATTATTAGCTTTTGCTCACAAGTCCACCCTCTTTTTAAAATACCTTGCATTTGGTTCTGCAAACTAAAGTCATCTGCACTTTACAAGGCATTGTACAAATCCACTTTTACCTACATAGCTAGAGCTCTGCCTTTTCCTTCCAACCTACACAGCACTTTTGATGACTGAGACTGAGATCACTGGAGTACAAAGGCACATATAACATCCATTTGGAGTACTCAGTCAAATGTGTAACACAGTAGAATAAAAGAAGCTACAGTGAAAGGCCACAATTGAGCACAGCATTAGGCGTTTTTTAATGGCCAAAGAGTTGTCAAAAATTACTTTATTTGACCTACATAACAAAAAGTGTTCAGCTTTAATATTATTTTTTAGGCTACACAGAATAAAACAGGTGTGCCTTTCCACAAGATCACTATACTGTAATACAACACTGTGCAAGTCTACTGTCCAATGCAAATCCCAGCTATTTCTACATTTATTTCTTGTCCTGCAAAGATAATATAAAGAATTAGAAGCACTCACTCACCAATAAAACTCAGAAAGTTGAGCCCTGCCTTCTGCTGGGCCATGCTTCCATACCACAACAGAGACCACTACCTAGCGGATCATCACTAACTCACAATGCCGAACAAAACTCAGATACACACTTGGAAGTTATGCATCACTGTTTTATTCATGTTATTGGTTTAGCTTCCTTGCTAAATGGCTCAAGTCAAGTTGCTGGACTGAGTGCTATGCAAACAGAAACCAAGGGGTCTCAGCCTTGGCAATGAGAATAACTGACCACAGAGAAGGAAATTCAGGTGACAAACAGAAACAGAGTTATGAAGGCAGCAACTATATCACCTGATACCTCCTGACAAGACTCATACAAAAGTAAGTAAATAATATCTACAACTCTTAATACATTTAGAGTACGTTTCCCTTCTTCAAGTAAATATCCTCAATATAAGGGACAGAAACACCATCTTCATTAAGATCCCTTTAAAGATGTCTGAACATACGTGAAAAAGAAATCCAGGAGACAATTAGGATGGTTAAAATTTTAACACACCAGTCATGCTTTGAATTAAGGATTTAGGAAGCAGGAGATCTGGATGTTAAAGGACACAGCAGTGAGGATGAGAGATGAACAACTAAGAATATTATCAGCATATACTGTAGTGAAAGGTCAGTACTTTCAACTGGCATAGAAGAAGGTACTACTTAAGCTGGTACAGAATAATTACAAAAATGTTAGGAATTCTCAGATCTTTGTATTCCATAGCAAAAAGACAAGCCCTGTAGGGAATTTCAGAAATTGTTTATCAATTCTGTACACGATAGCAAGAAGTCCTCCTCTTAAGAATTTGTCTTCATATGTAACAATATTTTAAGTGGGTATACACACTTCTCCTGCTCATTTAAACTCACCTCGGCACTAACAAATCACTGTTTACAGGTACAAATACTCAACTTCTTTCTATTCAGAAGTATGGGGGAAAGAAGAAAGAAAAGACTGCCCTCCTAGTGACCTACCTGAAGAGATATTTAAGAGGGGCTCAGACCTAAAATTTAAGTGTTGGAATTCCAGAAGATGTTAATTCACACTGTTGCTCTTGAAAACTTCCAGAGAGCAGCACATAAAGGCCAGAAGAGTGAATACTATAATCATTTTAACTCCAGGAAGAGGACTGTAGGGGTGCTACAAGTAAAATACCACGTTAGAAACAGGCCAAGCTGAAGATAACAGTAATGCCTGTATTAGAGTCAGTACTATGTTACAGCTACTCCCCTGCAAGCCACCCTGCAGAGGGAGCATGTGAGTCATCCTTAATCCCCACGGGCTTGTAACCAGGCACCAGTAGCACTACACCCAGTGAGAGGGGCATTTAAAGAATATGACTTTGTTTCATGACAGCTAAATGCTACTCACAGCTTCCCAACTGAGAATAGGAAGTAGTGCTGAGAAATTTTGTATTGATTTTTAATTAATTTTCTTTTAATTTTACATTAAATAATTTTAGCAGGTGAACACAAAAGGAAAAACAGAAGCAAAGCAGCTTCTCTAATTCTAAGACTACTTAAGTTTGTAGACTTAATAGGGTTGTGTTTTCATGCTTCAGTTTTAGTCGAGAAGCAAGCAGTGTATCCTGTGCAAGTACAAAGTAAACTCAGATGGGTCAGCCAAAAATTAGTCAGGGAGAACAATAAAAAAAACCCTTAAATCAGATGTCACTGTTACAGCTGGGTGCAGAACAAGTAGTTAGGAAAGATCAGAAAGTCCTGCGCACAACCAAGCTTTGTAAACTTACTGTCAAGAGATGCCTGTGTTCTGACACCGCTGTGCCCATTCTGTAAGCAAAGGAGAAATTAATTAATAAATCTTAAAGTTATATTAAATTTTCAGACTGAATCACACATCAGACATGCTTCATGCAAAATTCTCTATTAATTCTAATATACAAAAAAGGCAGAAAATTAATTTTTTACTGCCTTTAACAAAACCACGTAATAGTTGTCTCAAGTGCAAGGTGTCCTGAACATACGTAATTCCATACACGGCCCATACTACACCCATCAGCAGGAGACCTTCCCATGTACTGTATATAACAAACTGACACGAAAGAAAGAATTGCATTAACATATAGGAAATTGTTGTGCTTTTTGATCTAACGCAACTCACAATTTTAACTATCCAAGTTACACAGAGACGCCAATTTTTTTCCACTGAAAGATATGACTTGAGAAGCACCAGTTCTTTTTTTGGATAACGCTGGAGTACAGAAGTGGATAGTCTATGCTTGATCCTCACCAGTACATACGAGCTAGTGCAGAAGACAAGTGTGACTGAGCCATTACACAACAAAGGCCAGAAGTAAATAAACTTACAAACTCTCACAAACATTTAATAAATAAAGTTTTCTTAAAACAAACCTACATTTCATGAACAAAGAGAGTTAAGCGCTTTTGAATCTCCAGAAAAGATCCTCTCTGTCCTAGATTAGACATCTTCCGATGCTTTTTAAAATAAAACATTAAACCAGTTCTCACTGGTGTTTAAATACAACAGAGGAGTAATGTTGCAAGGGTCACAAACAGGCCCCAAAATTGGGATCCATTTGCTAGATGCCATATAAATTTAGTAAGTAATATACCTTTAGATAACAACTGTCAAGTCGTGGCAAAATACCATAACTAGTATTTATATAGAGATAGCTAATTTTTTAAAAGCCAAGCTTGAGGGAAGGAAACTTATATAGAATGTTAAGTGTTACTAAGAAAAAAGATCAAAGAGGAATTTAAGATGTCAAAACCTGTAAAAATTAGAGGCTCTTATATTCCAAACACAGTATGGCTAAAAAATGGCTACGCAATTGGAAAAGCAAAACCAAATAACAAGGTGGGCTTGGGAATCAAAAATAGCACTTCACTTGGTTGAAATGACTAACACAGCAGCGTAATACGAGCCTAACATGGATAAGATTATTTCACCTTTTTCCAAGATCTTATTTACGATATTCGCTCACCGTAACTGCAACAGAGGTGGATTCAGACGGAGGCATGGAGCTTTGGTACGCTATCCTACTATGCACAGAAGTCTGGTCATAGGAGGAAGTTGTTGTTACTGGGCTAGTGCTCTGGGATGAGCAGGTCAGACTAGAAGAGGTGATGGCAGACGTTGTGTACGTGGACTCCTGTACTGTATTGGATATTGGCAAAGAGGTATTCAAAGGATCACTGGAAAAAGTAAAAATTATTTAAGCATCTTGGTAAACAACATCTCAAACATCCATAAAATTATTAAGTCCTACACGGTTATCTTCAAGTATCTCAAACATGCAGTCAATATAAATAACAATAACAATAATAATAATAATAATCATCATCATCATAGAAAATCTAATCATGAAAAAATACATAATTTTTCTTTAGTTTGCAGTAATCACTGCTCCAAAATCATCAGCTGTACTAAGAACCATTCACCTTCACGCCACGCAACCAAAACAAGCATTTACATACAAACACTTTTCAGTCATGGTATTCCCACCTTCTCAAAGGATAAATTAATGATCATATTTTTTGAACAATTAGATCCATAAAGCCTGGTATACAATGAGAAAAATGCTGCCTCTTTTTACAACAGAATTTTAACATTACAGTAGCAGTCAGAATGAATTATGCAAAGAGGCAAAAGTAATTCAAAACATGCAGTAGTGTTTTACTTTCTGAAGAGTTTAAATAATTTCTAGAAATAGAAATTAATGTCAAAGTTTATTTTTACTAGTATTTCTGAGTTAACTTCAGGAAGCCAATTTTGGAATCAGTAAGAAAGGAAAACAGGTTACTGTGCATTGGTATTTATCACTGTCTATTTTAGCGTTTCAGTAAGAGCTTCTGCAAACTGAAAGCCCGGTTTCTTTTCTCATCCCTTAAGAGCATCAGATCTGTAATCTAATGCTAATCTACTAACACACATACATGGCACAAAGGGTCACCTCTCTCAGGTCAAAAGCAGAAAAATTCTGGATGTGAGGAACAAACTCTAAAACAAATTTGAAAATCAGGACAATTAAACATGAGAAAGCAATTCTATAAAAGGTAGCCTATTACAAGATTATTTACATTCATGTCATCTCCAGCACCGCATCAACTCATCCACTGGGATTCTGACTGTCATTAGAAAAATATTTCTCCTTTAAGATGCCATCTATAGAAAACACTTAAGCCTTACATGTCATCTATTTCGTCTTCCCATTACGTAATAACTGTGCCTTAATGTTTTTGGCACAGACTTGACCCCCTAAAGAAGATATGCACGAGGGGAACTCACACGTACTTCACAGATTTTGAGTACAAGCTATTGTTTGTTGCCTGGCTGGTATTCTCACTGCTTGAAGTTGATCCAAACTCTGGGAGCGCAGGCTCTGATCCAAACTCCAGAGCTCCAAACTGAACATTTAACCCTGTCACATCCGCTGATCCAGGCATCTCCACCGCAGAGGCAGGAATCTTAAAGAAGGGGGGAAAAAAAGCCACAGTTCTCTTGCATACACCATCTGTATTAAATGTACAAGTAATTGACACCCTATTCTCCCTTAATTACAGATTTCTTCCATTGTAGATGTAGCTAGCAGCTGAGGCAGCAAGAATGCCCAGATTACATCAAACTAACTAACTATAGTCTTCTAACCTGAAATTAATTCATTGATTCTGTGCCCTGATCCGGATCCGAAAGAGTAAGTAATTCTAAAGTATCAGTGTCATCCATGTCCATCCCTCTTCAAACAACACTAAACCTGTGGCTACTAAGTCAACCCCAAATCACTTAGCAACAATCATTTTCCACACAGAGTAACCAGACACATGCCTGGGAGAGACTGTATCACTGTTATTTTAGGCCTAAACACTATCCAGGTTACCATTTCCTGCTTTGTGAACATGAAATGTATCATGTGTAAACATGACATATCTTTCTCCCTAGCAATTTACATAAAAAGTAGAATCATAGAATCTTTTAGGTTGGAAAAGACTTTTAATATCATTGACTTCAACCCTTACCCTAGCAATGTCAGGTCCATCACTAAACCACGTCACTAAGTACCACATCTGCACACCTTTTAAACATCTCCAGGGCTGGTGATTCCACCACTCCCCGAGGCAGCCTGTTCCAGTGCTTGACAATCCTCTCAGTGAAGAAATTTTTCCTTATATCCAATCAAAACCTCCCATGGCACAACCTGGGCCCACTTCCTCTTGTCCTATCAGTTGTTACTTGGGAGAAGAGACCAACTCCCACCTCTCTACAACCTCCTTTCAGCTAGTCGCAGAGAGTGAAAAGGTCTCCCCTCAGTCTTCTCTTTCTCCAGGCAAAACAAGCCCAGCTCCCTCAGCTGCTTCTCATCAGTCGTGTTCTCCAAACTTTTCACCAGCTTTGTTGCCCTTCTCTGGACCTGTTCCAACACCTCAATGTCTGTGTTGCTGTGAGGGGCCCAAAACTGAACACAGGGTTCTCAAGGCACAGCCTCATTAGCGTCGAGTACAGGGACACGATCACTGCCCTGGTCCTGCTGGCCACACGATTCCCGATACAAGCTCAGGCACATCTTTTTATTTGCTAAGGATAAGCGACTAGTCAGTTACACACCTTGGATGCTGGAGTTATCCTCCGTTTTGGTGGTTTTATCTGCTTCTGCTGGGTCTGATGCGCAGTCACTGCCTGATTATCCATAGGTATAGTGGGGAGCTGTAACATTTTGCTGACAGCTGTAGAGGTGTCTACTGGCGACGGCTCTCGGAGTTTTACCTGGGAGGAGAAGGACTCCAGCCCAGGAGGAGGAACAGGAACTGCCTGCATTTGTTGTTGTCGCTGGGTCAGCTGGCTCAGAACTGGGGATGGTTCAGGCTGGGATTTAAAGTCTGGTCAGTGTTGGGAAAAAGAAACATGAAAATTATACTCTGTTCTTCCTCAAAGAATCTGGATGATTTACCATACTTGACAGCTATGATTTTTATAGTTTGTGCAAGTCTCTTTCAGACATAACAGAAGTTTCACATTACCACCGCAATAATAAGGCCAAACATTTGATATTCTTCACTTTAAACAAACAGCTGTGGGCAAGCATCATTTAGCTTTCTTCAAAAACAAGAAAATAAACCTATCTATATAGTCACATAGCATCATATTAGTCCTCAAAAATTGTTACAGATTATTTTAATCAAACACTGTGAGTTTTATTGCAATTAACTGTGCTGGTAAAACGTGATTACTTCCAAGGGCTCTGGTGTTGCAATTTAGAGGTATTACGAGTTACGGCTTCCTGCCCCTACAAAGGAGAAGAATTCCAACAAAAATAGGAAGTCATCTACCACCTCAATCTGGCCTAAAGTCGACAGGTTTTGTCCAAGTCTTCCCCTTTTATTTTTTTCAGACACTGGAAACCACGTAGTGCCTCAGAGCACTGGTCAACAACCATAACAGATACAGTGCATTTCCAGTAAGAAGTCTCTTGGGTTTTTTATTCAGCTGGTAAAGTTGCATTAGAAAGCAACTTAAAACGTATGAAAATATTTTTTTCAAAATTGCTGCTTGTAATAGATTATAACTGGGATCAAATTGGCTACTTCTCTATCCCAAAATATATGCACATACACAAGACAGATACAAGAGCTATCATTTCTCAGAGTGAGGACACTGCTAAGAACTGCATTGCAAAAAACAAGTTTGTGTAGTTGTCAGTGTTTACTCTTACTCAGTTTAAATATCCATACAACTATGAATAGACAAAATGGGTAACCTGCATCATTCTCAGCACACTACAGAAACATTGAGATGTGACATACATATGAAGAAACTAATTCTACAAAATTTATGTAAGGGTTAGAAGAGGAAAAAAAAATGGGGAAAAAGGCAAAATATGGTACAACCTTGTACTCAGTTAGAAGTAGCACAGGCACAATGAAAGTAAGTATTTTCCAAGATTTTTTGAAAAACAAAGTGACATCAAAGTTCCATTTAAGTATTCAAGCACATTTAATCAAAGATGTTGCCACAGGAGGGCTCAACAACTTCTAAAGATCCAGTGACATCAATGGATTGGCTTAAGCCTATCAAAACTGTGACATGCTCATAATGTCTACTACCAGTGAGTAGGTGTAACTCTCACAATGATGTAATCACTTGTATTATTAGGATTACATTCTTTAGAAAAAGTCTTTCTTAAGGCCATTTTAAACTGTTAGGAGCATTAAGAAAATTTATGGGCTAACAGAGAGAAAAGGAAAGAGAAAGCTACATCAAAGCACTTACCAAACTGACTAAGGACTGAGGACTGAGTAATGGGTGGTTTTAGATCCCAGGATGACGTGGCAGTGGTGGTAGTGGTGGTACAGTTAAGATTATTTTGTTGAGAGGTAAACTGACCCAGTCCTGGAGACTTCAACTGGTCCAAGATTTGGGATCCAGTGGAGTTTGACAATTTAGAGGATCCAAGTTCTCCAAAGCCAGAACAAAGTACTGCAGACTACCAAAAGACAAAAAAAAGAAGAGAGGAAGGAGCTGAACATGGCCACAGGGTCAATAACTATACCTGCTATTCCTCAGCAACTAAAACCTCTTTATCCTTAGATTAGTAACAATCGACTAATACAAAACTCAGCATTTGCAGCATATGGCCAGATTCTCTCTGATTATCACCAATACAACTTACACCACAGTGATTGCAACAATACTAATTTACTCATATCCATGCACCTCAAAACAACATGTATTTACTAAGAGTTGAAGTAATTTTTAGAGAATATATGTAAGCACTCAATTTCAAGCCCTCATAATTCAGAAATAGGCAAGTTTCCACAAAAAAAATCAGTCAGGCACATGCTTGGAAATAACACCTCATAGTTTTCTGGCATAGAACTCTTGACTATAAACAAATTATTTCATCCTGAATTAGCATTCTACTCAAACTCATCTGCTCTCTACTCCAAAATTAATACAAGTATTTCATGTAAACCAAGAAATAGCTACTTTACAAAACCAGCAAAAAAGTATGTGTGTGTGAATGGAAGGAATGGAATTCTTAATTAATGAACATTTGCAACCTGAATTTAACAAATACTAAAACATCTTATGAAATTGCCAGGACTAGAATAGTTGTTTAAACTGAAATATTTACTTGTGAAGAATATTTAGAAAGCATAAGAGTTTTACCAGACTTTGAGGAGAATAAGAGTTCACAGCACTGGAGCTGCCAGTTCCTGATGCCATCTGGGTGCTGTGCTGAGAATTTGTGAAGACTAGGGCTTGGCCAAAGGTCTGCTGTTGGGGAGACTCAAACGAGTTGCTTTCAGTCTCTTGGGCAGAAGTCACAGGCTTTTGAAGCAGTGTTACCAAATCAATGCTGTAAGAAAAAGTAAAGTTTAGTTGGAATAAAAATGATGATTAAGTGGCACTAAAACTGAAGAAAACATTAACAATATTAAAGCTATTGTATCAGCAACACAATTATTACTGTTTAGTAGTCTTCTAAAACACTGCATGTCTGCCACACAGGAAGAGGTAGAATAGAGGTTTTTTGCTAGAAAGCAATATTCTGCTAGCTGAAACCTTCTGTTACAGTTAAAATATAAATTACCTTTCCATTCTTTTCAAACAATATCGATATTGTGACATCATGTATCACATAAATAACCTATATGATTAGCAATACCCAGGTAAGCAGACATGTCATAACAGACACATTAAAGTGGATCCTACCTGTAAGTCTATTTTATTTATATCTATATCATCCACATTCTCTGCATATCACATCATCCCTTTAAAAAGAGCAAGGGTTCAAAGTCCTATTTTTGTATAGCGTGAGTATGACCACACTGAAGAATAAAGCCACACATGCAGTGATTGACTGAATATATGATGACATGGAAGTCACAAGAGCAGTAGAAACAAAAGCTGAGTTTCTCAGATAGTAGGCATATAAACAAAATTACCACACATAACTGAGCATGAGAAATGAGAATTTTCTTATACTTCGCATGGCTTACTAAACCCTAACACATGTTTATCCAAGGAAGAGCAAAGCATTCTGACAACAAAAGAAATACACTCAAATAAGACTTAAGTTTACCCTAAATATACTACAGACTTGGGATGAAGAGTTACTTCCAATACTTTCATTAGCAGGGATTTCTTAATGCCCAAATCTTTCTTATGGAAACTAAAAGAACTCAAAACCACAACAAAAAACCCAAAACACCACTGGAACAATATCTGCATTTGAACAATGAACATGTAAGCATATCCCCTTTAAGGGGAGAAATACACACTGTAGAACAACAAACACCATGCCTTCCTCCAGATCACATTCGAGTTGTAAGAAAAACTTTGGTGCTGTCTGGAGCGCAGCAATAGAGTTGTATCAGGATGTTTGGAACAATTAAGCCATCCAGTCTTCAGGTCTTGTGCGGCCCAACAAAGCCAAGTGTAAGGTCCTGCACCCAGGTCAGTGCAATCCCAAGCATAAACACAGGGTGGGAGATGAGCAGCCCTGCACAGAAGGACCTGGGGACGTTGGGGGATGAAAAGCTGAACATGAGGCAGCAATGGGCGCTCGCAGCCCAGAAAGGCAATCGCATCCTGGGCTGCATCAAGAGAAGGGTGGCCAGCAGATCGAGGCAGGGGATCCTGCCCCTCTGCTCTGCTCTCCCGAGACCCCACCCGCAGTGCTGTGTTCAGCTCCGGGGCCCCCAGCATACAAAGGACATGGACCTGCTGGTCCACAGGAGCCCAGACTAAGCCACAAAGATAATGAGGGGGCTGGAGCACCTCACCTCTGAGGACAGGCTGAGAGAGCTGTGAGGCTCTTCAGCCTGGAGAAGAGTAGGCTCCGGGGAGACCTTATAGAGGCCTTACAGTACTTAAAGTGAGTGTAGAGGAAAGAAGGGCAGGGACTTTTTGCAGGGAGTGTAGTGATAAGTTGAGAGGTAATGGTTTCAAACCGAGAGTAGGTTTTGGTATCAGGAAGAAATTCTTTCCTGTGAGGGAGGTGAGACACTGGCACAGGCTGCCCAGAGAATATCTGGCAGCCCCCTCCCTGGAGGTGTTCAAGGCCAGGCTGGATGGTGCTTTAAGCAACCTGGTCTAGTGGGACAGAGGTGCCCCCGCCCATGGAAGGGGGTTGGTCTTTAAGACCACTTCCAACTTGAAGCATCCTATGATTCCATCCAGCTACTGAAGTCTTCATCACACAACTCTAACCTGCTCTTTTTGGACCTGAAGTTAACACAGGCAACTGATTCCATAACACCATTAGCCTAGCATTTGGTGAAAACACAGGAAAGCAAAGAAGGCAGCAACAATATTTTTAGTTCTCCGTTGAACTCTCCATTATCAGTTAGAGCAAGCAATTGTGAAGCTTATCAAGAAATTCACTTTCTTGCCAACATGAGCTTTCTTGTTAACAAATTTGCCAAAGCTCCACATTATCAACACTTTCTGCATCTACAGGGGCAGGACTTCCATTTTACGCACAACAAAGTTGGAGCTTCGTCTTCAACAGCAGAAAGCTCTTCTTCCCAGCTACTTTTGTTACTGCCTGTAAACAGTCTACTAACAGAAAAAAGGGTCTTCTCAGTATTATGCCCGTGGACTTGGCTCCATTTCCATAGTCAATAACAGGTTAACACAGGAACCTACAAAAAGACCGATCTGCAAGCAAGGCCTTCAGGATTCTGAAATTAGCCTGAGCAATCTCTTACCAAGGCTGCCCTGTGTTTTACTCCACTTCTTGTACGTGCAAGCTAACATTCCTTCACCAAGTATAAGGTTTTCAAGGTACAGGGAAAATGTGCAAGAACTTACCTTTGCCCAGAAGTCACATGATTTTCAGCTGGAACAGAGGAAGCAGTGAAGACCTTTGTTTCAGAAAGCTGAAAAAGGGAAAGGAGGGAAAATGTATTTTAATCATACACATGCTCACACTTCACTGCTGCAACATCTGCAGAAATTCCATTTTGGTCACGCACTTTCAAGACAAAAGTAAATTCAGACTACCATTACAACCAGGTATGCTGGAGAACAAGGAAGCAATTAAAAAGAGCTGGCATGGCTTCACCAAGGGCAAGTCCTGCCAGACCAAACTAGTGGCTTTCTACAATGGAGTGACCACATCACTGGACAAGGGAACTGCTGCAGATGTCACCCACAACATTCTTTTGGAAGTACTGGAGGTACGAATTTGTGGGTGGACTGTTCAGTGGATGAGGAACTGTTTGAATGGTCACATTCAGACACTGGTCAATGGCTCGAAGTCCAGGTGGAAATGAGTGACAAGGAGTGTCCCTCTGGGGTCCGTACTGGGCCCAGCGCTGTTTAACACCTTGATCAGGGACACAGACAGTGAGACTGAGCGCCCCCTCAGCAAGCTTGCCACCAGCACCAAGCTGTGTGCTGCGGTCGACACACTCGAGGGAAGGGCTGTCATCCAGACGGACCCGCAGGGCCCAAGTGAACCTCACGAAGTTCCGCAAGGCCAAGCGCAAAGTCCTGCCCCTGGCTTGGGGCAATCCCAAGCGCAAACACAGACTGGGTGATCAGTTGACTGAGAGCTGCCCTGCACAGAAGGACCTGGGGGCGCTGGCGAATGAAAAACTGAACACGAGGCGGCAATGGGTGCTCGCAGCTCAGAAAGACTGTCACATCCTGGGCTGTGTCACGAGAAGCGTGGCCAGTAGGGCAAGTGAGGGGATTCTGCCCCTCTGCTCTGCTCTCCTGAGACCCCACCTGCAGTGCCGTGCTCAGCTCTGGGGTGCCCAGCACAAGAACATAGACCTGTTGGCCCAGAGGAAGCCATGAAATGATCAGATGGCTGGAGCACCTCCCTTATGAGGACAGGCTGAGAGAGCTGGGGTTGTTCAGCCTGGAGAGGGTCCAGGGAGACCTTATTGCAGCCTTGCAGTGCTTAAACAGGGCTTAGAAGAAAGATAGGGACTTGTACAGGGTCACTAGTGATAGAACAAGGTGGAATATTTTCAACTAAAAGAGGCTAGGTTCAGATGAGATACAAAGGAGACATTTTTTACCAGGAGGGTGGGGAAACAGTGGAACAGGTTGCCCAGAGAGCTCACAAATCCTCCATCCCAGGAAACATTCCAGGCCAGGTGGGATGGGCCTTTGAGCAACCCCATCTAGTCAAAGCTGACCCTGCTCACTGCAAATGACTTCCAAAGAATCCTTCCAATCCAAATTATTCTACAATTCTGTGCTACAGCTCTGCTTACGAAGACAAATTTGTATTCAAACTTCAGCAGTCTTCTCCACAGAATCAAGTACTAATTTATTTAAAGTGATAGGAAATTTGATCTACCAAACACACACAACCATGTACCAACGCAACTACACTTCTTTGAACAATAGTTTTACTGAAACATATGCCAGTAGAAAGTAGTTACAGTAACAGCTGGTATATCGTCAGAGTACAGATACTTCGTACAGACATAATTTAGGGCTCCAGCTCCGAAAAATCTTGTTGTAGAACTCTTAACACACAGCACTATTCCCCACTCGTTTCACATACCCTTGCATTTTACATTTCAGCACACATCACAAGTGTAGCCAGGTCTGCACTCAGGTATGCACAGTGAACTAGCATTTGTGGTTCTTTCTTGGCATTTCTGCTAGGGGTGGCAATAACATCTTAAACCGATTGCTCTGCGAGCAGTAATAAAGTGAGAACCATGTAATTCCTTATACTAGCACAACCACTCAGATCATCCACAGTAGAAAACTGTACAGCTTTCACCATGCTGTTACAACGACAGATACTTGCACGCGTAGCTTGGGAGGGGAAGCTGGTCATTTCAGGTTTTGGGTGAAAGGGGATGATATTGGTTTCCAGGGAAATTGGGTTTGCTATTTGGTTTTCTTTGGTTTTTTAATAGTTTTTGCTTTTTTTCAAGAAGAGTAGTTAAACAGCTACAATGTCCTAGGCCTAATTCATTTCTACTGACAGGGATACTTGCAAATCAGAACAGGTTTTAAGCCAGTATAGATTAGGTTTAACAAGATAAAAGTATGCACATATAACGGTTATAGTTTAAATTAAATTTGCACAAAATCACCCTTCACCACTTTGGCGTAGCCATGTATTTAGACTAATGAATAACTGACCTATTCAAATGCTCACAAATAAACTCATTAGAATTGATATTTGAAAACAGATCTTCCAGCAAATTATGTATTTTTAATTACATACAGTGCTGGCAGTCCAGTTTGAAGGACATCACTGGCACGAGTCTATTTCATCTGCCATCCCACAGGCAGCTCTACTGAAAGCACGTTTATCCCTGAACATGGTTATCTGAGTAGATTCTCCTACAAAATGCTGTTGATTTAAGTGAGACTCAAAAGGGCAGACTGGGAGCTGTCACCACTCAGAAGCAAAGTTCAAATGTTTCATGTATCCTCCTAGAACATAATTCTACGTAACACACTACGTCATGAAGGGAATACTACCACAGTTCCACTCCCTTCCCCTCCCTTGCTGCCAATACAACATACTTAAATCTTGTATTTCTGCAACACAACTCTGTCCTGTGTGTAACACTGTCAGCCCGTAACTCTAACTATCGACTGAAACAAAGAAAAAATATTCATCTCAAGAGTTTTTCCAATTAAAAAGGCTGTTTCTCTATTTTCTATCCCTTTTACCTACTGCACATATTATTTTAGAACATGTATTGTACTTTTTGTAGTGTTACAAGACTCCTGCATTATATGGCAAAAAGAGGTCATCTTACAGCATGAGCAGCAGCCTATAGCCTGCAGTCCCTTGGTTAAATATTAAATTCTTTGCAATGTCAACAGTTTATTACACTCAACCCAGGATAAGACTAATTCTGGCTAAAACACTGACGAATCCTGAAAACTAAGCAAGTAGAAGAGCACGAGTATGTTTGTAACAACGCAAAAGCATGCGGATGTATGAGAGAAAAAACATTCTCTTCACGTGAACCAGCATGCAAAACACAAGTAAGTCTCCATCTACCAGCCTAGCTATACTGAAGTTTACACTACACCAAGTAGCAAACTCCTCGTGCCACAAGCTCCAATCGAGCACCTAATTCAGGAGTCTGCTGTGATTATGACATTTGTCAAAGCATATACTTCACACAGCAGCTACTAAAACATTTTATTATACAGATGTATTTAGTATTTCTCAGAAGTAGTACTATCAGCTCCTAACAAAGTTATGTATGCTCACCATACACTATACTCGTAAATCTTCTTCTGAGGCTCTGGCATTTTCACAGAACTGAATGAACGGTCATGTACCATTTACAAAAGTCGTCCTCACAAGGGAATTTCCTCCATCTGCAGTGAAATGCCTGTGCTTTTCAGCTCCTGTTCCTATGATAAAAAAAAATTCTCCAACTACCAAATAGACAATGTATTTAACAACTAGTTACCAACTCCCTGTGGCCAGTTGAGAGGTGAGAATAGGAAAATATACTCCAGCATCCTCATAAAAAGTCAAAATCAACAAATCAGAAGTAACAAAACCTTACTACTGTTTTGATATGATGTATGGAAACTGAAGAAAATAAAAGAAGTTCTCATGTTGCTTCCTAGTAAAGGACATACTCCTTCCAAAATACTTCTTTTTTGAATCTTTTTATTTTAAGTCTTGCTGTTGTTTCAAATAAAAATTAGAACTACCAATATTTTATGCAAAATGTTTGCATCAATCTGCTTTTCAGCTATTCGCATGTATTCCTTTTATCTCCTTCTGAAAGATTCTGTAGTTAAGCATTTATTTTCTTTAGTGAGGAGAACGTGATCATAATCTCAACGGGAAAACCCAAAGGCATCTCTAGTACCTCAATATTTGGCTGGTCCTTCATTGTCCATGCCCTGAACATCACTTTAACAAAATACAACCTCCTATTTTCAATGCAACTAGATTCCATTTTGTTTAAGAGCATTCCTGACAAGCTACCATACTTGCTCAGTACTTGCTACTAAAGATAAATACCAGATAGAACTATTAGATCATAAAAATCTAGTCCTTCTTGGGTCAAACAGCATTAAATGTCCCTCCCCTGCTCAGAACTCATATCTGACTAAAGAATATCACATTTAAAGAAAAGTACTCTTCAGAAAAATACCTAGTCTTTATCTGCAGACATCAGCTTCCCTGGTTGTTTTAATTATTAGTCATCCTGCCACAAATGTTTGTTTATTATACATTTAAATGCACAACTCTGATTTCCTGCCACAGGTTTGTATTATGTCTTTGTCTGCCAGACTAAAACCACAGGCCATTATATGCTAATAGAGCAACATTTTCAGTTTCAGTAAACGAAATATCTCACTCCCACAGACCAAGTCTATCAATAAGTAATCTTCAGCTGTTTTCCACAATTTTTGTTTTGAAAAAGCAATGAAAAATTGGATGCAAGACTTCAGAATCAAGTTCAAGAGAGTCTACGTAACAAAATGTGCATCAGGAATGATTAAGCGACAGGCAAGAGTGCCTACAGGCATAAACACTACAATAGCTTTTTTTGGCCACAGCATCAGCCCTTTAGGAGATCATGCTGAGCTGTTCTGTTTCCATCATCCACTACAATCAAAACAATTTTTCAGTCACTGCTTTCCAGAAAGCAGCCCCTTCGTTCTGGAAGTGTGCCTTTATTCCTATAAAGCAAATGGGCACTGGGCTATATTAAAGCATTTTTCACTTGAACAGGTCAAGTCCAGCAGAGGCACAGACTTGTCTGCATGACTAGTTTACTTTTAATTGCCATTCAAATAATTTTTGGATTTCCCACATATTTTATTCAGCAATGATTTTATTTTTTTACTTCCAGATCAGTGAGAAAGGCATGAGATGGAATCTGGCCTGGGATCGGATTCCTTTAAAGTCCTCTTACAAATGCCCACAGTCAGCAAAGGTCCTGCTGCAAAAACTTCATTTGTCACAATTGCAAAGCAGATTTTAATCCACTTAATGTGTTTTGTGATAGCATGTAATTACTTTTACATCAAAAGATATGTATTAAATCTCTTACAAGGACACATTCTACCTTCCTCTTAATTTACTTAAAGACCAAGTTTATCTGAAGTAGACCTATTTTCCATAAAAATACACTGTATAGTACAAGCTGTATTCTCACACTGTATTCTCATACTTCTGTTTTTTCTGTATGTTTTTTTGTTTATAGTGGTGTGGAGGTGTTGGGTTTTTTTACATCAGATGTCTCCATTTTTCATTTTTATTTCCCCCTGGTACGTTTTGGGCTAATGTTTTTTCAGCTCACCATTTCACTCACTCTTTCTGAACATCAGTACATGAACAACTTTATCCTAGGTTACCGGGATTTTTCCAGGACTCTGAAATTAACAACTGGCTGAAGATTTCACCTTGTAATCTTTCAAGATCCAAGTGCAAACTACTCAGGTTTCATAATTAATTCAAGAAAGTGCTATCCTTAGTCAGCATTGCTGAACACCTCTCCTGTACCGGCATCAAACAGTGGGGAGAAACAAGGCCGGAAATTTTCACTATTTCACTATCCTCAGCACTTAGACCACTCCAGCACACACTGCAGAAATAAAGGACAGGTTTAAAACAGATGTCAGTTTCTGATGGCAGTAGCTGATACAGAAAACCTAGGAACTTCAGAGTTTCTCTTTATTTTGTTAAAAGACACAACTCTCTTATTAGGTAATGACAGAGTTTTCACATCTGTTACACCAAACATTCACACATTTCTAGGGATAGCACAGACATGCCACCCTACAGGAGGGGGCAAAAGGGATGATCTATGAGAAATCTCTTACTCTTCCGAAAATTAAATAATAGATATTTCTATAAAAGATGAAAAACTTGTTAAAAGCTAAGTTTTCCTTTCTATATTTTTTTGGCAGCTCGTTTGTTCTCTGAAGTGCCTAAGCATTAATGCAATAGCTGAAAAGTTAAAATCACTAATGCGATTTTCACACGATGATCACAAATGTCAAGTATTTTGCAGACATGAAGACATCTCTTGTCTGATAAAAAACAAGAACCAACATTGTTGTAGTGCTTTAGACAACACATCATGGTGAAACAAAAGAGATGAAGCAATTAACTGACTTCAGCACACTATTAGCTCCATTTTCTCAGTATTGTGAACATGGACTAAGTCAAAACATACACATTTTATAACAGCCAAAAACACAGTAAGTTATATCATTCCATGCATACAGCAAAGTATTACTTCCAACATTTAACACAAAAACTCTGAAAAGTGTAAATACTCAATTGGCATATCCAACAAGGATACACTTACATCTTCATTCCAGTCTTCTGCTGTCCATTCCTCTATTGAGTTTTTCCATGCTCCTATGGTAATTTAGGGAAGGAAAAAAAAACAGTTATAAGCTAAAAGCTGCAATGCTGTATTTCAACCCTTCTGCTTTATAAGCAATTCTGCTCGTGGAACACAAAGTGAGGAGATGGTGGTTGGAAACATGGGAAGCTCTAGAAAACTGGTCTGCAGATTTAAAATTTTGGGGAGATTTGTGGAGTTATTTTCCTTTAATTTGTGACTTCATAAATTTCTTAGCTACTATGTTACCAGACATATTTTGCATGGATACATGTCTGCAACCAGTGATTAATCTCAAATATTAGAAGAACTTCTTTCTAGGTGTCCAATGACAATGAGAGGTTACTCAACCCTCCCACAGGATCTCCTAGTTTCAAGAACAAATTCATACAAAACCTGAACAAAACATGAACATAACACCAACATTTACAATTTCTCTTTAAACTTATTCAAATTCCAGACCCAAGTTATGTCTCTGGAGGCTCCTTTCCAAACTATTAGCTCTCTCCTCAGGACAGAAGAATCTCAATCCTCTCACCTGATAGAGTAACTTTATTTAAAACATATAATTCATGTTACGGCAGCAGAAGAGTCAATAAGCTTCCACTGTAGATGCCAAATGCTTCTTTCTGCAATTTGTAGCCAAGCTTATCTGGCAAACACTGGAGCATAGCACAGCAAAAGGAAAACTACAGGAAACGATCTTTTGGATGCAACAACCTGATCCCTTCCACAGGTAACAGCAGGCACAGACATGAAAGAGCAATAAATGGGCTGAAGGCCTTGCTCACCTGTGCAAGCACAGGGAAGGTAACCAGAGCCTTCATTTAAACTGCATAACCATGAGTGAAGAAAACACCATCAGTAAAAATTCCTGCTACCATCACCTTTGATCAAGCACAAAAGCAAAATCACTACTGCTTTAATAATCTCCTTTTACTTTAAATCTAGGAGCCCTCTGAGACACATTCATCCATAAACAAGATTCCTGTAGACAGCATCAAATTCCATTTGTACTGATGCCATTACTACATCAGTGCATTCTTTTGCTGACTATGACAAAGTACCGTCTTGGGCAAAGGAGGGTTCGAATGGCACTAATTCAGTAGTAGTGATCAGGCCTACCACAAACATTCCTTCTGACTTTTACAAAAGCCCTAAAAAACCTCCAAACTACTTCTCTGTAACTTCCAAGCTACTCAACTTCTATCCTACCCCTTGGCAGTTACACTATAATTTATCTTTCGTTTCTGGTCACTCTGCAGTTTCAGAGTCATTTAAGGTTGCTCATAACTATGATAGCAAAGGAAGTTTCTCTGTAAAATTTATGAAACTCTTATCAAAGCAGAGGTATCAGTAAATTAGCAGAACAGAATACATTTTTATAACCTACTTGGAGAATGCCCATCTCCAATATAATTTAAAAGAACTGCTGTGATTTGTCACTCTGCCACTGCCTTGTACATTGCAAAAATGGTGAAAGTTTAAACACTCAGCATGCCTGAAATAAAATATTAATCACGTTTTTCAAATTTATTCCCTTTGGGTGAGGATTGGTCATTTTGTTTCCTTCCACCTGTCCCTTCTCTTTGTCTTACAATTGTGCATTACCTCTATAAAAATCAGAGGCAGGAAAACAGATGCTGAGTTATTTGGAATACAACTACACTTAAGTGTTATGAATCATTAAAGATTATCCCTTTACTCTCTTTCTATTTCAGTCAACATCTCTAATAATTTTTTCCTCCATAGCTATCTTTTCTATAGCATTACATGATGGCGTACCTAGAAACACCTTTCATTCAGGCTACTGCTATTCCTCTGTCATCTGTTCTAGAATACTTCTAGAGAACATATGGGGTCAAGTACCTTTTAGAAACAAATAATAGATTTCTTTTTAATCGAAAATGTTGACATTTACCATTTCCCATCACTGGCATGAGCTAATTTTTTTCCTTTCTTTTTAGACAAAAGAACAAATATGACTTCCATCCTACCCCTTCTCCTGTGCATAGTCTTATCAGATATCCCTCACTAGCCGTCTGGAGGCTTTATGGATTTCCATATATACATATCAGCCTCATGTATATCTTTAATAATCTCACACTGGCATCTTAATTATTACTGGAATTGTTTTGTAACTAACAGCACAGCACTGTAAATGAAGGAAAAAACCAAACCAAATCAAAATAACTAGGATTTGTGATTTACAAGCCAAATCATCAGCTCAACTTTCGAACAACTTGCTTCCAGCCTCATACCTTGTCTGCCACTATTTCCCCTCACCACAGTTTCCATCTTCCTTTCCTGTACTCTCTCTTCTGCTTTAAAACTACTACCCCAGCTGCACCCTCCTCTAATAACCCTCAAGATGCTTTCCAACACAAGGTTGAAAGTACTTCCCATGTGGACAAAAGTAAATTATTCCATTTTAAAGCCTAGGCTTTTCAAAGAGATCTCTTTTTTTTTTTTTGGCTCAGGGACTTACTTGAGACATTCCTATGACTTGTCTAAAGAAGAAACTGCAAAATAAAACATTCTTCCTACAGTCATATATAGAATGACATTTTTGTTTTGTCAGTCAAAGTGCCTTCTCCACTTCCACTGAAAGTAAATTAAGACTGGCAGCAAGAAGGTACTTAGCACCCAAAAACAGCATTCATACTTAACTAGTTTAAACTTCCACCAACCACTTGAACTTTCCACACAGACATTCATACCACTAAGAACCATTAATCTAGTGAAGCCAGGGAAAATTCCCAAATGCCTTCTCATACTTCTTCTCAATAACACTATGCTCAACTTTCCATATATGTCTTAAGTTGGGTTACTGAAGTTCAGTGTAGTTCTCGGTGACATGTGCAGAGCCTAATGGTAAAAATGCACATGGTATCCAAAGAGAAGTTCCACATTTTGAATTTCTACAAATCTGCTTGCTCAGCAATAAACCCCTCATGGAGACATACTCATACTCGCATGGGGATCTGTTTACCCACACCAAGCTACTCTTATTCCTAGGCAGAATTCTTCCATTACTGAAGACTGAGAAGATGCCTACAAGAAGGAAGAGAGGTTGCCATAGGGTAGGGACATGAAGGCTACCCAGCTGGCAGGGAGGGTCACAAAACATTCAAACTCATTTGGGAAGTGGAGCACAATGAAGTGAAGTCAATGCCATTAGTAGGCCACAGGCTTACAGCTATATTAATTAATAACTGACCAGTGAATAGTCTGTCTCTGGCCCAGTTTCCTCCTGCCTTTCTTGCATGTCTGCTTCTGCAACACTTGTGAAAACACACCCTGTACCCTGCTACAATACAACAAACAACAGTAGCAGTATTTCTAGGGGAATTCTCAAGTCATTATGTGTCTTTCTATCATTACCTGATAAACATACTTTCACATCAGTTTTTCAAATAAAAGGTGCAGTTCCATTTCACCATAGCACCAAGAATTTTTTAAAGTAATTCCTTGGAAAGATGCTGTAGCAGAAGAGCTACCTTTAAATAATCATTAAAATACCCAGGGCAACTCTCCCACATTGGACTAGAAGGCATTTGAGTGACAAAACAGATGCCTAACAAGCCCTTCTTAACTCTGAACATATTACTGTCTCCTCTGGTAAGTGGAAAATGGCTTGTATGAAGCTTAGAAAGCTGCAGTTCACTCCAGCAGCTCACAGCAGTCCTCAGTGGAGCACACTTTGGCCTCCATGTTTTTCCTGCCACACTTGACACAGGGATTGATGAAAAATCATCCAGTTAGGTTTCAACAGTTTGCTGGGGTTAAAAGAAAGTATCTCCTATGGCTCAGTGGTTACCAAGTGTGGACAACAACGCACATCAATTTCTCCATGCTGACACAGGACTTCCTTTGTCTTCATCTCCCGTCACACAGTGTGGAGAGCTGCAAGATATTCTGTTTACCCTATCATAGACAAGCAGGTCTTCATTTCAGAATCTCAAGATACTGTTGTTTCTCTCCAGATTATGTCTGTCTTTTGCCTTTAGCTGGGAGCGCGTACTTGACACTTCATACTTCACACAGAAACAAACCTGTCTCTGTCTTCACACAGGGAGACTGCCCTTTGGGTTTCCATTCAAGAGCCTAGTTAATAACTCTTCTCTTAAAAGTTGGCAGATCTTGAAACTTTCCTGTATCCTAGAAACTTGCATCTTTACATTCCCATGTTCTTCAGGTTCCAAAGCCATCCCAGTGTCACTAAGTGGATTCATATTTGTAAACAGACTTTTTTTTTTTTTCTCTGCTTAGACATTCACAGCCTATCATCTGTGGACTAATTACTTTTAGTAGGACTTACACTCCTTAACTACATTAGCTGAGCTCTTAAGCAGTACTTAAGATACCTAAACAGCTCTTCACATAAAAGGTTCTTTCATGAACTCTTCAATTCCAAGGGATTGTTAGTACTAAACCAAAAATATTGCCAATTGCCTTCCCTTCATTCCAGCCAGAGTCACTCAGCCTTAGAGTGGGTGCTCTGCACATCAGTAGCAGTTAAGGTACACAAATCAACTAATATCCGTGTCATGAGAGATGTATTCAAATCCTGAGAAGTTAACTGCACACTAACAGACAATATGCTACAGGTCTTGATTCCAATTCTTCCACTTCTTGAAGCATCTTACCAGTTCCATCATCTGCATCATTCTGACCAGTCTCCCAAATCTCTGATTTTGTCCCAAAGCCATCAGTGGCAGAAGACTCCGTATAGTCTGCAGGGTTAAATGTCCTAGAGTTTTAAAAGTTAAGAAATGGAAGAGAACACATGGGTCATTCAATGAACACAAGTGTCATCATTTTTAGATGAAGTTGTATTAGATTTAACATCTTGATTTCCACATAATTTATTTTGATAGTTTTGGTTTCAAAAGAGATTTTTCCTCTATGAGTAGACAGAGATAAAAAAGGGAGAAAAGTAGTAAGAGAAGAAAAAAGTGAGGAGACTGGGAAAAATATGACTTTTAGAGAAACTGAAACAGAACAACAGTTCCTGAAAAAGTAGTTAACAGCATACCTACGCCACCCAGCATTATAAAGTATTATATATGCACACTGATAAGACCCCTCAGCTGACAGTTTCTCAGCAGGTCGCTGGCTAATGAGAAACCAGCATCATGTCCTTTCAGAGCACCAGATCTGTGCAGGACAGGAGTTGGAACATGGGAAGATGATTTCAGAATGCACTCCTGATGCCAATGCCAAAACATACAGATGCAGTCAAAAGGTGAAAAAATACTACTGAGGAGAAAAACCCCAAAACTCTTTTCAGCTCATCATCTACCAGTATGAACAAGAAGAATTATTAGAGAAGTAGAATAAGCCTTCTGTTCATCATGACATCACTGATATTACATAAATGTCATTAAAGGCAAACTCTGAATGAAAGTACTGGAGGCTACACTTCTATGAATCAAGTTATTCCAACAACACTGAGAACAAGCTTTAGGGATGCTGAGTAACTTCTACTGATTCTGTTTTAGGGCCTGTGTATGACCAAACAACTAAAGCATGAAATCTCAAAACCAGAAGTTTACAATCACTAGACTTTCTGGTTTTATATAGAACTTGCATGTTCTACATTACACTGAAACAAATCTGTTTTTAAATTCATCTAGGACTACATGCATCACATAGAACTTTCAGCCTCCAAGGCATTATGTGGTTGCTACTGATATATACAAACAGGTTCTCTAAGTCTGAGATATTAACATTGAGTATTGTATAGGTGTGTCTAGTTAAAAATATTGGTTTAAAACAAAAATAATCCATTAATCATCAAACAGATCTGTCACTTTTTGCATCCATATTGTTTTATCAAACATACAGCAATATTAACATATAAGCTGCAATACTGTTGACTAATGTTGCCACTGAGTTTGACCCTTTCCAAAATCTGTGCTCTGCATGTTTCTTACCCCATGCCTTGGGCTGAAAACCTCCCCGCTCCTCTCCCTCTGCCACGTCCAAACCCTAGGAGAGAAAACACCATTTAACAGCAACAGCAGAGGAGCCGCCAATAACTAGTCTGTCACATTAGAAAATACTATGGTTGAAGGAGAAAACTCCCATAGTTAAAAGTGAGTATGATTTACTTTGCAAATTTCCTCACAGGAGTTTGTTTCCCTAAAACACTCGAATAAGCCACAGTTCATCTAATACCACACATTTCAATAAGACTTGTAATTCTTTGCTGTCTTTTCTCTACCCAGATGACAACGACTTACCTAAAGACCCATTCCACATGAGATTAAAATTGCCACATCATTAGACAAGCTGGACAGAGCCTTGAGTCAAGTTGGACAGAGCCTTGAGCAGCCTGATCTAGTTGAGAGGCGTCCCTGCCCATGACAGGGAGGTTGGATTAGATGATCTCTAAGGTCCCTTCAGCCTAGGCCATTCTATGATTCTATGACATTCTTCAAAATGTTGTGTCTACTTTCTCACTCTTGCCTCAGATGCTCTAGTCCTGGCCACACTGTGTACTCTGATCTTTCAAGAAATTCCCTGTCGCTCCTTCTCTGTGAGGAGAAATTTTAAATATTCCATTTGTTTCCTTCTCTGACACAGCCCATCTGTCCACCTCTACTGTGCTTCTGTCAACCTGCAACCACATGTCTTCTGCTTCCCCCTTAATCATAGTTACTGACACGAAAATTACCAAATTCAAATCACTCAACTTCCACGTTATCACCCAGAAGAATATTCACTTGAGTTTTAACAAAAAAAAAAATATTTCTTGCGTCCAGTTTTGGTTACCAGCCTCAGTTTACAAGCTTCTTGATACAGTGAATGGCTTTGATTTTGCATGTTGCACAGTGCCAACGAAGCAAGCAAATTTTTTCATTACTTAACCATCCATGGAGCATATGTCTATATAGACTGTTAGAAACTACTTCTTACATGCAGCATATTTCTACATATTTTTTTTCTTATTTGAACCTCAATATCTGAGGCTTTTCTAGTTTATTGGAGGAAGACTATGATTATTTTGTATTACAAGAACAGGAGGAGAACAAGAGCTGCAGAATGAGGAAAAAAAGCAATGATTTGTTTAACAACAAAATTATGTGGTAAGTGTAAGTCACTAAGCAATCACAATTTCAGAGCACAAAAGTTATAAACCTAAATCACCAGTACACTGGTTGTCGACACATCAAAATTTCAAGATAGGCTGCTCAAATTTGGATCAAAATTACCTCTTCGTTTCAGGAGACCACCTAAACTGAATAAGAACAGTAGCTTCAGATCATAGCGCTGTGTCTGGAGTACTGTGTCCAGCTCTGAAGCTCTCAACACAAGGACACGGACCTGTTAGAGCAGGTCCAGAGGAGGCCACAAAAATGACTAAAAGGTCTGGAGCACCTCTACCAAGACAGGCTGAGAGAGTTAGGGTTGTTCAGCCTGGAGAAGAGAAGGCTCTGGGGAGACCTTATAGTGGCCTTCCAGTACCTGAAGGGGCTACAGGAAAGCCGGGGAGGGACTGTTTACAAGGAGGTGTAGCAGTATGTTGAAGGGCAATAGTTTTAAACTAGAGAAGAGTATATTTAGATGTTAGGAAAAAGGAAGTTCTTTGCTATGACAGTGGTGAAGCAGAGGAACAGGTTGCCCAGAGAGGTGGTGGAGGCTCCATCCCTGGAAGTCTGCTGTCTTGATATTTTCCTCTTTACCATCTTATCACAATCAGTTGGAAAGAAGGTAGACAAAGGTTAGGAAAGAGGTAACAGCAGCTGTAACCCAGCAATCACCATCCTTCTTCTCCAAGCCCACGTGTGAAGCTATGCTCTTTGCTGTCATAAACCACAGCGTCCCAGATCCCGCTGTACCACCTGGCCCCTGAACCTCCTTGCTCAGCCTAACTGCTCCACTGCTTCACCCACCTCAAACCCCCAATCTGGGAAGCTTATCCACAGAATCACAGAATGTCAGGGGTTGTAAG